CATTCATCTGTCGATGGGCACTTAGGTTGCTTCCGTGTCCTGGCTGTTGTAAACAGAGCTGCAGTGAACACTGTGGTACATGACTCCTTTTGAATTATGGTTTTTACTTGAGTGGTTTTAATAAACCAAAGCAAATCAAGTTCATGTCCCCTCAAGCCTTTCACAAATCCCTGACCCTTTTCACATTTGCTTCTTCTCATCTTCTTGCATATTCTCTCACAACCAGATATGCTTACAATAAGGCAAATGTACTTTTTTCTCCTTTTTTTCCTTACTGCCAGTCGATCGGCCTTCCCTCCTGCTTTTTAGGCGACTTTACCCTTTTCTCTGAGGGCTTCGATGTCCTAAGGTGGTAAGATGGCTGGTTTACACAGCGGAGAGTCAGATCTCCTCTGCATGCGAGCTGAGTAAGCTAGCTTGCCCCTGTTCCGTGGGCGCCAGCAGAACTCGTGGGACCCCCAGGTCAGAATCCAAGAGCCTTGTAACTCACAGCACAGCCAGCAGCCCCCCAGGTCCCGTCCACCCAGGAGGATGTGCAGACAGGAAACTTGCATCCCGGCTGAAGGACGCCCAGCTTGGGAAACTCACCCCTCGCTTTTGTAGTGAACGGAAGCCAGGCTGCTCTTGTCTGGAGGGAGGTGTTGCCTCATCCCTAGAAGGTGCTCGCTGTCAACAAAGCCCTGAGAAATGGCTCCGGGAAAGACGCGTCAGTGCTCTGCATACCCCACGTCCCCACAAGGACGTGCGGGCACGTGCAGGGCCGGGCGCGCACAGGAAAGCTGTGCTGTCCATCTGTAGTTGCGGACAATCCCCTCTAGGAAGTCAGGGGAAGTACAGGGAACTGCTGTTAGCTGGGGGCTAACGTCTCCCTTGGAAGGTTGGGGATGGCTGTCCTTCTGTTTCTTAACCAGTGAGAACACGGGGTCTTCAGCGGCCCTTTTGGTTTGTTTTATCTGCAAGTGTTTTCGTTCATAGTTTCTTGATCCTTTGGGAACAAAGGCCTTTTGGTCTTGAGTTTGTTTGGGGGCCAGACGTTTCATCTGGAGGGCCATGAGTTTGTTTTCATTCCTAGATTGTGTCCTTTTAAGACGCTTCCTTGAAGATGTTCAGCCACATGTTTAAGATCATCCAGGCTGGCAGTTCCCCTACTGCAATTGCTTATTCCAGCTGTAAGTCCCCTGTTTCAGCCTGTTCCCTGGGACGACTCCACATGAGAAACTCTGAAGAGCTCAGTTCTGGACATCGTCAAACACCTAATGGATGTGTCTGGGGGCTGCCCCAGAGAGGGCTTCCCGGTGACCCTCCCGTGCTTGGTCACTGCCAAGAAGCCCATGGCCATTTGCAGCCAGTTTCCCCAGATGGGCAGGGACACCTGCTCTGGGGGATCCAGCCCTGCCCTTGGATCGGGGCACAGGGAGTGGACCTTCTCACAGAGAGCCTGGACTGGTGTTGGAGGGAGAAGGGAGCAAACCGCTCCCTGGGCCCAGCGTCCCCCTACGTCCAAACGGATGTGGACCCTGCCATCTCCCAGCCCCCTCCCACCAAGACGGTCTGGCCAGGGGACGGACGTGTGGTGGGAGTTCCTGTTGGTCCATGCTCAGGGGCCCTGCCGGCTCCAGAAAGCCACCCCTGGCCCCTCAAGCCCCTCTTGTGTCTTCCTTCTCCTCAGAGACGGGCAAGTGCCTTTCTCGGGCCAAGGCCTCACCCCAGGCCCAGCTGTCCTGCGGCAAGGTGGGCGGTGTGGAAATCTGCTCCCTGTCCTGCCTGGCCCGCACACTCTTCATGCCAGGTAACCCAGGGCTGTCCCCGGGATGGCATGGGGGGCAGGGCTCCCTTCCCTGGGGTCCAGCCTCTGCTCCCTGCTGTTCTCCAGGAGAGGAGCCCAACCTAGGAATGAGGACCCCCAGCCCTGGTCACTGAGTGACCCTGGGCAGCTGTCCGGTTCTGTGGGGGCCGCAGTGTCCTTCTCAAAAGTGCAGCGGACGCATTCCTGCCCAGCCACTTAGCCTGTAGTCGTGTAGCAGAAACGGACTGACGTGAGGGTCAGTCCTGACCTTCATTGCATTCAGTGACCCCTCCAAGGCCCCCAGGATGTACGGGTGCTGGAAGGGGGGGCACCCAGGCCCACCTCAGCCCTGGCCTCTCTACAGACTCAGACGACAGCTACAGCCTGAGCTGCGGTGTCCCGGGCCTCCAGGGCAAGATGCTACAGAAACGCAACAGCACCGGCTCCAGCACCGGGCCCAGCTGCTCAGGTAGTCCCCTGGCCTGTCCACGCTGCACGCACCTGCGGGACCCCTTGACTTTCCGTCCAGCACCAGGCCAGGGGGAGACAGAGGGGCATGGCCCAGGGAAGGCCTCCTGGCCTGGGGCCTGCCCAGTAAGGCTCAGGGTGCCAGGGAGCTAAGAGCAGGGCCAGGACCCAGAAGCAAGCAGGCTGTAAGCTGAGTCCCAGCCCAAGGGCAGTGGACCACGGAAGGGCCCTTCCGGCTCAGGGCCACGGTTCCAGAGTGGTTTAGTGACCCTGAAGTGCTCCCTAAAGTGGTCTATGGATCTCAGATTCCATTTCAGTGAAGGGAGTCACATCTGCTGCGGCCACAAGGTTCCAAAAACTCCCAGAGTCCGAGCTCGCCTGGGAGACCACCCACCCGCCCCACCGCCCCCAGGAACACTGGAGGCACGCACACTCGCACGCACTTTGGGACACAGCCAGCTCCCCTGCCAGCAGGAGGTTGTGCTTCGGCACCTTCTCCTATTCAAGAGGCTGGATTCAACGATACGCTTAATACGTACATGATGTAATCCTAAGCTTCTGTGACTATACGATTCTTTGGTCCAAGGGTCTGCTCTGCTCTTGGAAGGAGTCAGCGGCTCTGGCATCTGTATCATTGCAAATCCCCTTCCCTTCCTTGCTTCCCTCTCTCGTCCGTGCTGCCCCTTTTCCTGAAAGCGCCAGCCGCATAGAGTAGCTCTGGTGATGGGGGAGAGGGCAGGAGGCTTGCCCTTCCTCCTCCACTGACCGCTGGCTGGATGGCCCCTGGGGCGAGCAGGACCCCACCGTCCACCCTTGCACCTTTTTCAGGGAGAGAAACAAGGCGGCAGAGGTCCCCACCCACGGCTCCCAGTGGGTTTGTCCCCCTGGCAGCCCCCTCACGCTCAGGCACTCCCTCCGCAGCCCCCGGCCCCACCACCTCCCTGCCCAAGGGAGAGGCCGCCACCCGGGGGGATTTGGACTTTCCCCAGGTGCCCCTGCCACCCTCATCAGGCAGAAGGCCCGGTTCAAGATTCGAGATGCCAAGTGCCACCTCCGGCCCCGAAGCCGGGAGCCGGCAAAGGAGGCCCTGGGGCAGCTGCTGCTGGGTGAGTGGGCCGCCCTGGCACCGCCCACACGGGGGGCGGGGGGAGGTCCCCAGGCCCGGGGCCGGGAGCCCAGGGTCCAGCGGGACTGGGTTTCCAGGGGTAGGGGCCCCTCTTCGTCCTCACCACCGTGGTCCCTTAGCCCCAAGAGCCACACCTGGTGGACCATAGCCAGTGGTGGTGTCCCTGGGGAAGAAAGCCAGCATTTGAGTGGAAAAGCATCCCTGGGGTCCATCGGCCCGCCTCACGCAGGGTTAAATGGGCTCCCCCAGAGCCAGGGCTTTCCGCGCAGCGTGGTCGTGTCCAAACGGGAGGAACCCCGGGCTCACTCAGCGGCTCTCTCTAGAATGAGGGTGGCCCAGAAGGGTGTTCCAGCCTGGGGGAGAGCCTGGGGGAACGGACCAGGAGGAACGCGTGCCCGCTCTGTTTCCACGAAGATTCCCGAACACCTTAGGGTTCCTCCTCAAACCTGACAGAGCTCGGCACCCAGCAGGCCTCACCTGGGCCGAGCGGCCCCGAGCTGGAGCCGCACGGCTTTGCTAAGGAGGATGCGCAAAGTGCCTCACGTGCGGCGGTGTGATGGCCTCGGGAGGGCTGGGTGCAGGGCCTGGCTCAGCCCCCCCGGCCCCTCCTGAGACCTGGCCTTCTCCAGCCTCAGTTTCCCCGTCTGCACATGAACTCTTAGGCAGGGCGGGACCCTGGCCACCAGCAGTCTGTGTGCAGGGTGAGGTAGGACCGTGCTCCCCGCCCCGTGCCACCTTTGCCACAGTGGCCCCTTCCTTGTCCAGAAAACTGCCACGTGACCTTTGTGACCCTCAAGTGTGACTCCTCCAAGAAGAGGCACCGTGGCCAAAAGTCCCCATCCAAGGAGGTGACCCACATCACTGCAGAGTTCGAGGTTGAGACAAAGATGGAAGAGGCCTCAGGTGGGTGAGGAGTCCCCGCAGGAGGTGCTGAGGGCCTCAGCGAGGACAGAGGACTGGGAGGTCTGCTGGGCATGAAGCCAGGCTCCCACCCAAGCCACGGCTACCGGAGGTGGAGGCCAGCCAGGCAGGCGGGGCACCTGGCAGGGCTCAGGGCCGGGCCCTCAGAGCAGCTACCCAGCCCAGGGTGGAAGAGGAGGCCCGGGGCCGCGAGAGGAGCGGGGCTGGGGCCCGCAGTGACAGCCACAGGCCTCTCCCCACTGCTCCACGCCCTCACCAGGGCCTGGAAGGGCCCATGCCTGCAGCCTCCCCAGGCTTGGACCGTTGGGCCAAGGACCTGTCTTTGCCAGGTTCCAGCAGGGGCCTTGTGGGATGCTGGCTCGTGTTTCACACCAGCAGTTCCCTCTGGGCTGTAAATGAGAGCTGAGGTGCGCTGTGCCCTGGGCAGGGGACGTGTTGCAGTGGCAGAGGCCGGGCTTCTGCTCAGATCTGCTGCGGCGCCCTTGAGCGGCTCATGCCTCTCGGAGCCTCGGCCTCCTGGAGGCTCAGTCTCCTGCTGGCAGACATTCGCAGCAAGGGCGCCTTGGCCCGGGGCCGCTGCGGGAAGGCTCTGAGCAGAGGCGCGGCCCAGCGCAGCGCCTAGCAGGGCAGCCTGGCGGAGAGACGGCTCGCAGCGGCGGGGCGGGGGGTCGTGAGCTCAGGTCTCGCCCGCCCCTGCAGACACCTGCGAGGCCGAGTGCGTGCGGAGGCGAGTGGAGCAGAGCCTGCAGGCCGCCGTCAAGACTCTGCGCAAGTCCGTCAGCCGGCAGCACTTCTCCGTCCAGGTCGCAGGCACTGAGTACGAGGTGGCCCAGCGGCCGGCCAAGGCCCTGGAGGGCCAGGGGACGTGTGGCACAGGCCAGGTGCTGCAGGATGGCAAATGCGGTGAGTGCCTGCCCTCAGCCACTCCAGTGTCGCCCTGCAGACCTTCTCTGTCCTTCCTTCCGTGTGGGCCCAGGTAAAGAGCCCACGGAAGACAGACACGTCAGGCCAGGACAGGGGGAGACAAGGAGGCCTGCCGGGGAGAAGCGCCGCGGCACTTAGACGTGACGGCTGGCATTAAAGAGCGTTCCCCTGGCGCCGGGACCGAGTGTACGTGTGACCCTGCCCGCGGTCCTGAGGCGGGGCGGGACAGCAAGGCCCCAGCCGAGGGGTGTGAGGGGCATGGGACCAGTCCGTGTGGCTCGACAAGCCTTCCCAGCGGAGGCGTGTGGGAGCTGAGGGCAGAGGGGGAGCAGAGTGAAGATGCCCGGGAGGCTGAGGGCCCCCCGGCGGGGCGGGGGTGGTGCTGCCAGGCGCAGGGAAGGCCAGGCCACCGCAGGGGCCGTGGGCAGGGCGGCCAGGTCCAGTGAACAAGGCTGGGGACCTGACCAGCCCCCATCCAGAGGGGACGGGTTTAGAGACAGCCCCCGGTGGCTCAGAGGTGAACTTGACAGAGTCCTGGTTCTAGTGGGGTTGACGGTTACGTGGGAGAGAAGGCAGGCAGCCACCGGGTGAGCGTATCCACAGGCCAGATGAGGGCTTGCTGGCCCCAGTGCTGCCCTGGGCGCGCTGGGAAGTACTGGCCCGCGCTGAGCTGGCAGCAGCCTCATTCGCCCTCTGCCGTGGGAAGGCCAAGTGGGGGCGGCAGCAGAGCGGAGACCTAGCCAGAGATGGTAGAGCCTGGAACCAGGGGCAGCAGGAGAGGCGGACAAGGAAGAGAGAAATTGAGAGCACGCTTTGGAGAGGGAGGTGAGGGAGGAGGCTTCAAGGACAACTCCAAGGGTTCCGGCCACTTGGGCAGAGATGGCATTGTTTTCAGATCTGGGAGAAACTTGGGAGAGGGGACTGGCGGAGGCGGGGGTCCCAGCTGTCCTTGTTAGTCTGAGACGCTCGTTGAGTCGTCCTGGTGAAGGCGCTGACTAGGTTGGAGCCACAGATCTGGAGCACAGAGTGTAGCCTGGGCCGGAGACACAAGCTGGGAGCCGCTGGAGAGGAGGTGGGATTTAGGGGTGGGGGGAGGGGCAGTGGAGTGGGCACAGCGCAGTTTCCCCGCAAAGGGGGAGGGGGAGGGACTCGGGGATGTCATTCTTTTATTTTTAATCACTTATTTTGAAACCGTTTCAAACTTTCAGAAACACTGCCAGACAGAACAAAGAACTTGCGTATTTTCTTCACGCAGATCCCCCCACTGCGGTGTCTGACAGCATTCGCGCCGTCACGCTTTCCCGTGCGTGTGGCGCGCTTGTGTCCCTTTACGTCACCTGCTAAATTCCACCAACTCTTCCGACAGCATCCCTTTCCTCTCCGTGTTGTGTTTAGTGGTCATGTCTCCAGAATCCTTCATCTGGAGCAGTTCCTGGCTCTTCCCCTGCCTCTCCTGTCCTGCCCCTGGCTGGCCCTAAGTTCTGTAAGGTGACCCTCAGCTGTGTCCGGTGTTTCCTGGTGACCAGACTCAGGGCCTGCGTTCTTGGCGGGAAAACCACGCTCCACGTCTGCTCTTCAGCGCCCCCGTCAGGATGCACAGGGTATTGCCCTGGGCCACCTCTGGTTCCTCCACCTTAATTCACCATTTTCCCTCTGCAATCGATTAGGATTTCGTGGGGATGTACTGGAGTGTGCACGACACCCCGCTCCCCATCAAACTACCATCCACTCGCTGACAGCCGCCAAATTAGCCACCTCTACCCTTGCTGCCAAGCCGTGTTCTCTACTTCTATCATCCCTCCTACATTTATTAGCATTCTAGTGCAAGAGAGAGCTTTCCCTTCTCCCACATGTTGGCATGTATCTATATACCTATGCATTTATGTCAGTGTGGACTCACAGATTCCTCACTGGCTTGTAATCCACTCCTAACGTGGCTTAGTTCGGTGCTCAGATGGCCCCCGCTTCAGCCAGTGGGCGCCGCATCAGCTCGGCCCCTGTGTCCTTTGACACGGCTCCGTCACTCACTGAGTGTCCGGCACTAAAGATGTTTCAGACTCAGCTTGTGCTTCCCCTGCCTTGGAATCAGCCAAAACTCCAAGGACTCCTGTTCCTTTTAGAGGAGGAGAGTGTGTAGGAAGCGAGAGCTGAGGTACTCATTGCTACTGGGGGGTCACTGCCCTCTCATTGGACAGAACTAGAAAGTATAGGTAGGCATATATTACCTGGAGACCTATGTACCTATGCTATTCCTGTAGCTCTGTGTGTGTGTGTGTGTGTGTGTGTGTGTGTGTTTTATAAAACCATGAGTTCATACCAGTACCTCCAATTCAGTACCTCAGTATTCGTTCTAACTTGTTTTTCATGTTATTTTTCCATGTTTCTAAATATCTTGTCCCATGAGGCATTCAGCTCCCTTTCTCCTTAACTTATTTTCTCCGTCAGTTCCCTTACTTACTCATCAGTTTTGCTTACGTGGCCAATGCAGCCAACCACACTGGCTCTCCTCAGCCCAGCATCTCTGTATCCTCAGCCCCCAGGCCCCTGTCGCTCCCCCAGCCCCTCTGCACCTGAGCCCCACGTCCTCAGGTGCCAACTCCGCCTCACGGGGAAGGAAGGGGGAGCCGGCAGGGGAGCGTGGTTTGGATGAAGTTGACTGTGGGGCATCTAGGAGGCCGTTGGTACACAGGCCGAGGGCCCAGGGCTGGAGGGCAGCATGTGGAGCAGAGAGGGGACGAAAGTCCCTGCAGAGACACTTACGAGAGGGCTGAGGCGAGGGATCTGCAGGGGACCCTGAGTGGCAGCAGGCAGGAGGGCGCATGAGACCAGGACAGGGTCCTCACAGATGACCACCGCCTGGCTCCTCTGGGATGGGTCTGGGCCCCTCTGTGCCCCTGGAGCCACAAGGGCGAGAGCTGGGCCCTATGTGGAAGGGCAGAGCCTGGGCTTGAGGCACCAGCAGACAGACGGCCAGACCGCCTGGCTGCATCTCCCCACCTCTGCCCCCAGCAGTCTCTCCACGTTGCCTCTGCAGTGACCTGCGGGCCTGGCACCTACTTCAGCGGAGAGCCAGGCCAGTGTGTGCCATGCACGCCGGGGACCTACCAGGATGGGAACGGCCAGCTCAGCTGCACACCGTGCCCCAGCAGCGACGGGCTCGGCCTGGCCGGTGCCCGCAACGTATCCGAGTGTGGAGGCGAGTAGGGGCCCTCCCTGCAAAGAGCAGCCGGGGGTGGGGGAACAGGGCACCTCCTGTCTCCACCTAGGTTCCCAAGACAAAGGCCCGGGTGCCTTGTGGTCTCTTGTAAAGCTCTTTGCCGTTTCCAGAGCCTGTCAGGACTTCCACGCAGCTGCACTTACAAAGTGCGTCATGTGTCAGAGTGCACGGCGGTGAGCCGGCGCTGGGCTGCACTTGGTGCCCTTTAAAACTGCACCATGCAGGTTGGAAAGGACTTTACAGTTTACCACTTGCTCATTTACAGGTCAGCTTATAGCGGAGGTACGTAGTGCTTTATAGTTGACCAAACACGGGGCACCCATCATTGTCGGAAGCTTTGTGGAGTGCGGCCAGATACTTGGGGAGAATGGGCTCTACACAGAGACCTTTACAGTTGGCCTGTGGGTGGTTTGCAGAGCCCTTTTTCAACGTACCGAGCACAATTTGGTTTGCAAAGAGCTTTTCCATTTACTTACCCCACTTAACCTCATCTGTGAAATGGGCTTGTAGCCTTCCCCCCATCAGCCTCCCTTCCCGGGCCATTGTGGGGCTCACCCAAGAGAATGGATGGGGAAAGGTGTGCTGGGGAGTGGGACCCTTAGGGTGGCGGAGACCTCCAGCCTTCTCTGGGGGACACAAGAGATCAGAGCCCGGCCCTGAGTCCCTGCAGGCTGGCCCCTGTCCCCTCCAGGAGAGTGTGGTCTGTGCCCCAGGGGAGGTAGTACCTGTCAGAGAGCACAGAGAGGCCGCTGGGGGAGCAGAGAATTCCAGGGCACTAAACCCATGCCTTGCTCAGCGCCGGAATACCCTCTACATCCTGACATCTTGCTGGAACGTGTTGTCTCCTCCCTTTGTCCCAGCTGTGCCCTAGGGACCTCACAGAACCCCCTCCTTCCGCTCAGGCCCAGCCAGGCAGATAGACAAGGCAGCATCAGCCTGGAGCTTAAGAGCCCCAGGTCCTCATGTGAAGACAGTGTGGCCCGCCCCCTGGGCAGAGGCCCCTAAATAAATGGCCTCCATGACCTCCCCCCTCCACATGTGGTGTCCACACTCCTCAGCTCTGGAGCAAGGCCACTTCTCAGCCCACGGCCCTTCTAGCTGGTGGGAGGAGCAAAGCCAGGCCTGACCGAGACCACACAGGGCACTCCTCCCCCACGACCCCCCGCCCCGGTGCCTTGGTGCCTTTCCCAGGACAGGTGAGGGCTGAGCTGAGCGCCGCGCCTGGACCGAGGCGCCCCGCCCCAGAGCCTGAGCCGTGACCTCTGACTTGCAGGCCAGTGCTCTCCAGGCTTCTTCTCCACCGACGGCTTCCGGCCCTGCCAGGCCTGCCCCGTGGGCACGTACCAGCCTGAGCCTGGGCGCACGGGCTGCTTCCCCTGCGGAGGGGGACTGCTCACCAAGCACGAGGGCACAGCCGCCTTCCAAGACTGTGAGGCCAAAGGTGAGGACTCCCCACCCACCCCTCCGCTCAGGGTCAGTTTCCCTGGATGCCCCTCATTTCCTGCCCTGGCAAACCTCCACGGTCAGAGGAGGAGCCTGGAGCCTCAAGCAGTGGACGCTGGTGACGAGCTCTGTGCTGCACAGCGGGGGTCCAGCACAGGCCTGCCTGAGGGCTCGGATGAGAGAGCCAGGCAGGCGCTGAGGCTCCAGCCTGGAGCTCTGAGCCCCCAGCCGCCAGCTCCTCAAGACACTGGGGAGGCTTTGAGCTGCACTGGGAGGAAGGTTGGGAGGGGAGGAAGGTGAGGAGGGGCAGTGGGGTGAGGTCAGAGGTCAGAGGTCGTCAGGGCTGCCGGGGCCCTGCAGTGCGGCCCCTCCTCCCCTCCACACCACCGAAGCTGCACCACCGCCCAGGCTCGACTCTCCACGGAGGGACAGTCCTCCCCACCTGCTGGTGGCCCGACATACAGACTCTGAACCTTCCCCAGCTCTCCAGCCCACCTCCCCCTGGCTCCTGCCGGGTTTTCCCCCCTTTACCGTTAGCCTCGCAGAAGGAGTGTCTGGACTCCACTTCCTCTCCTCTCATTCTCTCCGAATCCCCTCCAGCCAGTCCGACTGTCACCGCACTACACCCGCCCAGCGTTTGCTCCCATCAAGGCGGCCCACAGGGTCCCTGAGCTGCTGGAGCCCAAGTCAGTTCTGTCCGCGTCTCCCGAGACTGGGACGTGGCCCCCTTGGGGCGCTCTTCCTGCCGCTTCTCCGCCTGGGCCCCAGGCCCTGCTCAGCCTCCCGCAGCCCCGCCCCCGAGTGCTGGGCCGTCCCAGGCCCCTTGCACGCGCTGCTCTTGAGTCTGGATAAACTCATCTGCTCGCTTCAGGTAGCCTCTCTGCACGGGTGCCGCCAGCTTGTTTCCCGTCCAGCCTCTCCCCTGAACTGGACTCTGCCCTCCCGCCAGGCCACAGCTCCACGTCGTATCTAACAAGCATCTCAGATTCCACAGGTCCAGGCTCCCCTCTGGTGCACGGCGGCTCTTCCTGCCAGGGGCTCACGGGAGCCTTGGCGTCACTCTAAGTGCTCTTTCCCCCTCACCTCACACCCAGTCTGTCCGCAGCCCCTGCAGCTCTAGCTTCTAAACAGCCCGACTGCGCCTTCCCTGGCGGTCCAGTGGTTAAGACTCTGCACTCCCACTGCCAGGGACATGGGTTCGATCCCTGGTCAGGGAACTAAGATCCTGCATGCCACGCAGCACAGCCAAAAATAAAATAAAATAAAAAATAAACAGACGCAGAGTGACCCTGACCCAGGCCACCGCCACCCCTCCCTGATGGCCCTGGCCTGCCTGGGCCTCCGCTCCCCCCTCCCCCAGAGCCCACTCCCAGTGCGGCAGCCGGGGACACGGGGCAGCTCCAGGTGGCCTTCCTCTCTCAGAGGAAAGCCCAGCGCTCACCGTGGCCCCTGACCTCTGCTCCGGCCACAGCTGGCACAGACACGGCCCACCTCCGGGCCAGCTCCGCACGCTTCGGGTCTCCACGTCGGTCCCCTCGATGCCGCCTTCCCTCGCCTCCCTCCACAGCCGGCCCTACGGCATCTCACTTTCCGTTTATTATCTCCAGTGGAGGGACAGACAGGCATCCCACGCAGCTGGAGTACGATGTTGGCCCCAGGGCAGGGCTCTGTCTGCCTGGCTCGCTGCTCAGAACCCGTGGTCCACGGCACACCCTGCACTGTTGCGGGCAGGGGCAGGGAGCAGATGGGTCGGCCACTCAGGGACTGGGCGTGGGTGGTGGAAAGTTACCGGGCAATGGGGAGGGGCCTTGAACTCTGTGCTGAGTCAGCCCTCAAGGGCAGGGAGTCCCGGGGAGAATGCCGCCTGCCCTTTCCCACCGGTCCCCCCACCACCACAGTGCACTGCTCCCCCGGCCACCACTACAATACCACCACCCACCGGTGCATCCGCTGCCCTGTCGGCACCTACCAGCCCGAGTTTGGCCAGAACCACTGCATCACGTGTCCTGGCAACACCAGCACAGACTTCGACGGCTCCACCAACGTCACACACTGCAAAAGTAGGTGCTGCTTTTCCCACGGCCGAGGAGCTGCGGGTGCCGGGAGGGGACTGGGGGCAGGCTGTGAGGGCAGCATGAGTCCTGACCTCAGGTCGTGTCCGCAGTGACACAGACCGGGAGGCCGGTGACTCCTCCCTGGCCCGTCACATCCGCACATGCACTCGGTGGGACACCCTGTGGTGTGGAAGGTGCGGCCGGCTTGGCCAGCCCCCTGCGCTGCACGGAGCGACCTGATCGCGCCGTCGTTCATCGGTTCCCATGGCTCACCTGCGCCTCAGTGCCGGGCCAGGCCCCACTCCAGGCTCTGGGTCTGTGGAGGGAAGAGTCAGGGCCCATGCCAAGGAGGCTTGTGGGGCAGCTGCCGGCGCCAGACCCTGCAGCTCTGAAGGCGCAGGATGGTCAGGGTGTACCAAGGGTGCAGGAGGAAGAGGGAGACCAGACGGCCGCCCTGTGTCTGTAGGAAGCCCCGTTTTAGCCAAAAGAAACGTGGCAGCGTAGACAATCTGGGAAATAGATCTCCGAGGCCCTCACCAGCAAGTCATCTGGGCCTAACCCAGAGGGTGCTGTCTTTAGGGATTTCTCATTCACCTTTCAGAGCCCTTTAGGGCATACGTTCTGGTATTTTACCCTTTCCCTAATCACTTTCCAGCCAGTGACTCCTTTCCTGGGCTGCTGGTCATGTTTGGAACAGCCTAATGGCCCGTGAAGGAGATTTAATCCTCGACGTGGACGCCGTCCCCTCTGCCCAGGCTGCCCCCGCTGGGCTCGCGGCCTCCTGCGGCAGCTCAGCGTAGGCAGGGTTTTAAGTGTTTAAACGTCCTAATGAGCAAAAGTGGGGGAAAAGTGGGAGGGAAGCTTCTGGAATGATAAGGTGAAAATGAAATGTTTCCCAGAAATTTTGATGTGAGGAGATCTTTAAATGAAAATGTGTGAGAAAATTACGTGTATTTAGTATTTACACTCAGTTTTCTTTGCATAACTTCCTTTATGCAGTTAAGCTAGGAACCGTTTAGCTCATAAAAAAGTCACGTTTGGCTCTTTGAGGATGCACGGCTTAGCTAGACTTGCAAAGGTGGGGAAGCATGTCTCTTGCTGGTCCCTGAGCCTGCCTGCTCCCTGGGGAGGGCCACACCTGGCACCTGGGGGGCACTCAGGGGATGTGGAACAAAGGGTTGCACAGACGAGTGAGTGGAGAGAAAGGGGACGTTGGGGCACACTTGACCTCGGCGGAGACACGGAGGGGAGCACGGGCTGGCGGGGAGCTGGCAGCGGCGGGGGCATGGACGCGCCTGCCGGCGGGGCGAGCAGCTCCAGGCAGGAGGCCAGGACGAGGCCCGGCTGCAGAGGTCCAGGTGAGGCAGCCCAGGAAGGAGGCACCCGGGGCTGGGCCTCCGAGAACCAACACGGAACGGGGACCCGCCCCCCGCTGAGGGGTCCCCGAGGGAAGACCGGCCTGGAGCCTGGCCTGCTGGCGGGGAGGACCGGGTAGAGGGGGCCAAAGAGGGGGCGGAGCACCTACCAGCCCTGCCCTGAGGGCCAGCCGGGCCTGACCAGGGCACGGGCCGTGGTGCCCACAGACCAGCACTGCGGCGGCGAGCTTGGCGACTACACGGGCTACATCGAGTCCCCCAACTACCCTGGCGACTACCCGGCCAATGCCGAGTGCGTGTGGCACATTTCGCCGCCCCCCAAGCGCAGGATCCTCATCGTGGTCCCCGAGATCTTCCTGCCCATCGAGGACGGGTGTGGCGACGTCCTGGTCATGAGGAAGAGCGGTACGTGCCGTCCAGGGGGGAGGCCTCAACCACACGCCCACCCCTCCCCCGCGGCACAGCTCTGCGGGGCACTCACCTCCGACCGCAGGGGCTGGGCTTTCCAGAGCTGTGTGGAAAGGTCCGGAGAGCTTAGGGTGTGTCCTAAGTGTGGGAATCAGGACCTGGTCAGGTGTGGTCTCGATGCTGACCACAAGCCTGTCTCTCATCCCATTTCTCCCGCATCCCGTCACACCGCCCAGGGTGAGCCCCCAGGAGCACCCCCTGCCCCGCAGGGCCTCTTCCCCCCTCTGTGCTTGGAGGGGTGGTGAAGGGCCAGCCTGTGCACTCACACAGGGCGCCGCTCCCCCGCTCTGTGAGCTGCAGCGTCCCAGCTCCCCACCCCCATGGGGCCTCCGGGTGAGACTTTGGGTGACGGGCCAGCCCCTCAGCAGTGGGTGGGCACGAGCACATGCCCAAATGGCCACGGCAGCGAGAAAGGTGGGGATCCCTGAGACCCCCCAGGGACTGGGTAGAACCCCTTATGGCCTGTGCCTCAGCTGGGGACCTCGCTGCTGTGGTAAGGCCACAGTGCCCCCAGGGAGCAAGCCCCAGGTCAGAATGTTAGGGAAGAAGGAGGGGAACGAGACAGACACAAAAATGTGTCCGCCCACCGGGGCCTGGGATGTGTCTGATACACAGTGACCAGCCAGAGGAGCGGGGGGGGGGGGGGGGGCGGGGGAGGGGGGAGGGCCTTGTCCACTGTGTGCTGCCTTGTTACCAGGTGCCTGCACCACCCACTCAGTGCAGCTGATGAGCAGGAAATGGCCCCCAGTGTGTGAATGGGCAGCCTGGGAGGCCAAGAAGGGCAAGGTACCCGGCCAGGGTCCTACAGCCAGTCAGAGCCCAGCCCAGGACCATCCCCCACCCATTCCCATCCCCAGCCTCCCTAGTCCACATCTTCCCCTCCACTGTCTGTCCACAGAGCTGAGCTCTAGGGAGGCCAGCCTCTCCCACCTCGAGGACACCTCAGGAAAGCTCCCCCAGGGAGCAGTGAGGAAGTGGGGCACCCTTTGGACAGCCCCAGGCACCCCAGGGGTCAGCAGGCTCACCCTTGTTCATCTGCTCACCAGGAGAGGAGACTGACCCTCCACCCAAACCCCGGCTCTGTGCTGGGTGCAGGTGTGAGCCCTGTCCTTGAGGAGCAGTTGGCAGGGAGACAGTGACAACCCTATAGAGAAGGGCTGTAGTACAGTGTTCACAGAGCAGAGAGGAGACAGAGTAGGGTGGGGGTGGAGCAGTCAGGGAGGCTTCCTGGAGGAGGAGGCACAGAAACTTGTCTCAGAGGGACCAGTAGGAACTGGGGCTGAGGGTCGGGAAGGGCGTTTGGGGCCGAGGGAACAAGTGCGGGGACTGGAGAGCTGGAGTGTTTGGGGGACTGGGTGCTGTGGGTGCTGGATGGCTGACTGAGTGGGGAGGCCAGAGGCCTGTGGCAGGAGGTCAGGGACCGGGTAAGGAGCTGTGGATCTGGGGCAGCTCAACCATGACGTGCCTCCGCCCCCTGCCCCGCCCCCAGCCTCACCCACCTCTATCACCACCTATGAGACCTGCCAGACCTACGAGAGGCCCATCGCCTTCACCTCCCGTTCCAGGAAGCTCTGGATCCAGTTCAAATCCAATGAAGGCAACAGCGGCAAAGGGTTCCAAGTACCTTATGTCACCTACGACGGTGAGTGTGGCCCCACTGCGCACCCAGGCTGGCCCTGGGGACACAGAAACAAATCACACCTCCCCGGCCTCAGGGAGCTCCAGCCTTGGGGGACTGTGGGGTCCAGACAGGCCCATAAGGGGGACAGGGTGGTGCAGATGAGGGAGCTATTAGTGGTGTCTGTGGGCCTCAGAGGGAGGTGCTACCCAAGCAGGGTTTTGAGGGTTGTATAGGGGTTTTCTAGCTAATCAAACCTGGAGGAGACCAGCGTGGGTGGAGGAGACAAAGGCACGCAGTCTGAAGCCCTGGGGGAGGGCCGAGGCTAACGGGAGCAGGAGGCAGGAGGGACTTTCGCCTTCAGCCTCTACCCTCACCTTCCTCCCTTCCCCACCGGCGGCCTTCGCAGAGGACTACCAGAAGTTAATAGAAGATATCGTCCGCGATGGACGGCTCTACGCCTCGGAGAATCACCAGGAAATTTTGAAAGTGAGTGAGCGTCCCTGTGGGAAGGGATCATATAATCCTGCGATGGTGGCCTGTGATGATCCAGGGCCATCCCTGCCCCCAGCCCCAACCCCAGCCCTGCACAGAAGTGAGGAGAGGAGAGTGATAACAGGAGAAGAGGAGAGTGATAACAGGAGAAGAGAAGGTGATGGGAGCAGGCGGCCAGGGGCAGGGCTGGTCCAGTGCATGTGTCCTTCTAGCCCAGGACCTGCTGACATGCCCGTGGGCAGGTTCCTTGTGAGCTCTTGGCCTCACTTTCCTCATCTGTGAAATGGGGAGAGCCCGACAGCGTGGTCTCTTAAAATCAGGAGAATCCTCCGCTGCCTCTGGGACTCACTCCCTCCTCATCCCGCCCACGTCCTGAGAAGCAGAGCCACCTAGTCATCTGGGGGCTGTGGCCGTCACACGGCGGGCACAGGCCGGGTCAGGGCCCAGGTTGTCACCGTGAGGAGCCAGACTCAGGGATTGGCTTGGGCTCTGGCCCCGGCCCAGCCCTGGGCAGACAGCACCCCCAGCCTGGGAGCCGAGGGTGGCGTGGAGGGTAAGAGCGGGGCCGGCCAGTCCCTCGCTAACTTCTGCTCCAGCTACCACCTCCCAGCTGGGTGTCTGAGGCAAGCTGTCTGAGCCCCGCCTCGCGTCTGAGAAACTGGGATGGCTCACAGAGTCTCCGAGCCCAGGCCTGGAGCACTCCTGCACACAGTAGGCACTTTGTAAGCCAAGAGGTTTGCCCCCTGCTGCCCTACCCGGATGAGACCTGGGGGTCTCGGGGCACGAAGCCCCTCGTCGCCCTCCTCAGGCACCTGTCTGTTTAGTGGGAACCAGAGGGTCGTCCTGGCCTCTCCGACTCTGTCCTGTTGACAGTGCCTGACTCTCTCGTCCTCGCCCCGGCCCTCTGTCCTCAGCTCCACCCTGCAGCTGGGAGCATCTTTTCAGAGCTAGAAGTGTTCCCATCTCTTAGGACCAAGCCTTGGCCAGCGAGGCCCAGCCTGGCACAGCTACCAGCTGCCTCCACGGCGGCTCTCAGGCCTCCGCTCCCCACCTCACTGGCCACGGCCTCCCAGGAACGCTCGCCCCATCCTCTCCTCAGTGGACGTCCTCCCGTCCCTGCTGCGTCCTATCCTCTGGGCCTCCCGAGCCAGGTTGCGCTCTGAGGGCCCCAGGTGGCCCCCTTCTTGGCCGTCAGGCCTGCCAGTTTAGGTCTGTCCTGTGATTATTTGGGCCCCGTCCCCCCCGCATGGGGAAGGAACCACAGGGCTGCCCCCTCAGCACTCTCCCCGGCACCTGGCACTGCACCCAGCACATGGGAGGAGCTCCACCAGTGTCTCCAAGGGCGTAGGTGCATGTGTACACAGGGGAGAGGGAGTGTGTGTGTGTGTGTGTGTGTGTGTGTGTGTGCGCGCGCGCATGCACGTGTGCGTGCGTGTGCCCGCTCACACACGCCGGGACGAGTCACACCCCAAGACGGCCGCTTGAGACGATGAGCTCGTGGGGCAGGAAGCACGCGGTGCGGTGGCTGCCGGTCACTGGAGGTTCTCCTCCAGGGTGGCATCGCCCCACTTTACAGATGACGCTGGGCTCTGAGAGGGTGCCCAGCTGGTGAGTGACTGCGCCTGAGCGTGGGCCGCCTGGACCCTCGCGGCACACCTGTGCCGAGCACCCCTGGGCCAGGCTCTTGGCTCTCAAGACTCCATTTCCTCTTCCGCCCAGCCCTAAGAGGAGGGATCATCACCCCTTCATTCAGATGAATAATTCAAGGTCAGAGCAGCAGGGCCATTCTCCCAGGGCTAAGGCACTAGGGAGGAGATGGTGCAGCTGCGGTTTCCAGTCCGGCCTATCGGCCTCCAAAGCCTTGCTGTCTACTCCGTGTGCTCTGGTTTTCAACCTGGGGGGTTTGGCTGTTGTGTTTTTGCAGCGCACCCTTTTAAGATAAAATGTGACTGGAACTCCAAGAGTTAAAACGAATAGACTATTAAAAAACCAATTAGGCTATTAAAACCGAAAAGCTATTGGTGGCAAAGAGTCTGTAGGGTCCTGAAACACACCAGCCAGCCCAGCCTCTTCCCCCTTCCGCCATCCCTGCAGACACCCTCAGGCCCCTCCAGGGCGCCGGGCATCGCAGAGGCGAGCGGCCAGGGCCCTCCAGCCTGGCCCCAGGCCCCTCACCCTGGCCTCACGTGTCTTGCAGGACAAGAAGCTGATCAAGGCCCTCTTCGACGTGTTGGCGCATCCCCAGAACTACTTCAAGTACACAGCCCAGGAGTCCAAGGAGATGTTCCCACGGTCCTTCATCAAACTGCTGCGCTCCAAGGTGTCCCGGTTCCTGCGACCCTACAAATAACACTGGTGCAGCTGCCCTGCTTGGGGTGCCGGCTACCCGGGGAGGAGAGAGCTCCTCCCCTCCACAGTCGAAGCTAAAGGCGGCTCCGTGGGCCTCCACGCTGCCTTGGGAATCGCCGTGGCGTCTGCCCTTCAGGAATCGCTGGCCAGCCCGTGGCGGGCGAGACCACATATGCAGGCAGAGACCCCAGCCCGGCTGCACTCCTCTGATGCCGCCCCCGTGGGAAAACGTTGCTTAAGGCAGCCTTTCTTGCTCCTTCCAGGACACCAATAGCGCCCTCTCCTGAGCTGGCACCAGCGGACGCCACCCGGACCCAGGACGCTCGGCCACCACCCAGGCGGGTCCCGGGCAGAGCTGACCTTTGGAGGTTGCATGTGCCCTTTGCCTGGTGCTTCGAGGGAGAGAGGGGCATGGCTGCCATGTCTCAGGGGGCTCTCAAAGGCAGAATCCAAGACAGGAGGCCAGGCCGTGGAAGCAGGGGTGGTGAAGACTCGTCTGGGGGCTGTGATAAGCCAGTGTCGATGCTGGCAGGGCGTCCACACCCGCCAGCTCCTCTGGCCATGGGCCCAGGACACGGGCGAGTGCGGTTGGGCTCTCAGGATTCTGTGATGGGACAGAAAAGAGGTGCTGGGAGAGGAAACTGTAGATTTCTGCTTTCCCGTGATAGAGCATCTAATTAAGTACTATGTGTATATGAATCTAAAGATAAAGATATATATCCTTCTATTTGTGGGTACTCTAGGAGAATCCTCTTTAGCAACTGTAAATATTAATCGCCCCGTCTTCTCCCAGCTGTCGCTGGCTTCCCTGACCGATTAAACTGCTCCTCCAAGCACTTGCCATGTCTGTTTACAAAGGCCAGGAGCCTCCAAGACCGGGGGTGAGGCAGGTCGGCCCTGGACACGCGGTGGAGTACAAACGCTTGGGGGACTGGGCTCCACGCTCTGCCAGCACGTTGCCCTCCAGTGGAATGCAGTGGAAAGCGGTGTCCCTTGGGACCCCTTCCTGGGGTCACGGGGCCCAGTGGTAAACTTTAGAAGGGGCCTGTGTCTGACCCGAGGCCGTGACTGTGGAGTTCGAGCTGAGGACCCTTGCCACCGGAAGGCAAGGCTTTGCCCCTGAGCACAGGCCGTGCTGAGCACCGGGGCCCAGGGAGGAAAACGGGCCCCGGGACGGGGGCCGCCCCCGGCAGAGGCAGGCCGGCTGTCGGAGGCCCGGCTTCCGGTGCCGTCTTCTTTCTGCTGCACCCTGTGGCCTCCCTCACAGAGTCTCTCTGTAAAGAAGCAAAGTCTGGAGTGTGACCGGGCTGCACCGTGTCCCACTCAGCCAGGAGCCAGGGCCTGGGGTGGGGCTAGCGAGGACCTCCGACGGGCCGCGGCCTTGCCCACTGCCACGCTGCCGCTGCCACCAGCCGCGGGACACGCAGGTGCTCTGTGGCTTTAGGGTTAACAGACATTTAGAATCCCAAGAACACGGGCGAATCCTCACACGAACTCCCGTCAGCCATCCTGGTCGCCTCTAGGTGGTTCCCTCCTCGCCCCAGACCCACGCGTGCCGCTAGGGATGAGCACGCCCTTGAGAATGGCTGTGGCGCTGAGGGCGTGAGGCCTGGAGGTCCCGGGCTGGGTGGTGAACAGGTCAGGGCGGATTTTACAGTCCACAGCGGGGCTCGGCGCTCGGGAGTTCCTCACCACCGTTACCTGCGTCCTCAGCGGCGGGTCCCCAGCTTGACTAATGCTGCTGTCAGCACCTTCTCTTCCAAAATCCAACTCAAGTGGGGAGGGCGCTGCACTTGGTCGGTAGCACAGTGTCAGCTGGGGAGCCCCGTCCAGGCCACACTGCCCCTCCCCTGGTCACAGTCCTTGAAGGCCAGTCACAGTTTCCAGAAAGAGGCCTGTCCTCCGTGTCAAGCCCCTGGTCCTCCCCAGAAATTAGGTGTGTCCTCCGGAATCGGCCCCCAGCAATAGCTACCCAGGGGAGGGCACTGGGAAGGGTTTTTGGTTTTGGGGGTGGTTTTTAATGCTCTCAAAAAGGATTTTTTTGATCCAGAGGGGACCAGAAAGAGCTCTCATCTCTCTTGAACACTTCCTGCTGCTCCTTTGGGTGGTTTCCGGCAGTTGCCACCCACATACCCACTAACCTACCCACCCTTTCGGTGGCTCCACCCCGATCCACGGCTCTCACCACCACCGTGGTCAGACCGTGCCCCGTGTCTCCCGGGCAGAGCAGGACGGGGCAGTGCAGACGTGGGCCCCGCACCGTCTCGAGTGCCAGGGAGCCCGCAATCCAGATTCGCCAGCCTCCCGCTGTCACCATCCAGCCCTCCCTCCCCGGTAAAGCCACCTGCCGCGCCCTCAGGGGACTCAGAGTCCAGGGGTGGGGTCTTTCCTGCACCTCGTCAGCCCTCAGCCCCATGCTGGGAACCCTGGGGGTCCCACTTACTAAACACAGAGCTGTCGCCACACTTTGGGGCCTGGTGGTCCCAGGAGATCTACCCGGGCAACAAAGCTTGTTTCTTCGTGTTTCCGTGTCGTGGACGCAGGGGGTAGATTGGCTGACACAACGTGGCTATTCCACCTGGCTCCAGGTGGAGGTGGAGAGAAAAGGGAAGGCGGGCAAGGACTGGCCCAGGTAGGGCCGTTATGCGGTGAGTCCTGAGGAAGGACAGAAGCCGAGACAGGAGAGCAGAAGGCCTGAGCTGCCCGGGGCTGAGCCAGAAGGAGCACAGCCCACTCCTGGATGGGACGTTGGCCTTGAGCAGCCGCAGACCCATCCCAGCCGGGGCCTGCCTGGCACGGACCCTCAGGGGCCAGCCAGTTGATAAACGCCAAGGAAAGGAGCTAAGCAACACATTTCTGGAAGCAAAAGCCTGCCCGCTGGCCAGGGCTGAAAGCAGGGGCCAAGGCCTGGCGATTCTGATGAGCTTGGTTCTGGCCCAGCAGAGCATCAGGCTGGGGCGACCGGAGCAGCTCTGCAGGGATGGCGGTGGAGACTGAGGGACCTCTGCCCCGTGGGCTGGGCACTTCCTGGCACACTCTGCTTCCATGGAAATGCGCCCAGGAAAGGGAAGGAATCCGCTCAGGTCTAGTGGCCAAGCCCTCAGCGAGGGAGTGTTGAAGTCGCCTCATCTGCTTCCCCGAACTAGGCTCCTTTTCCCTGATTGTGCCTTGCAGCTGCTGCGCGGGGCTGGACCCCCTCCTCCCCCCGGGGCTCTCCGTTTAGGGTCAGACAGCAGGTCGCACCTGCCAGGGCTGGTGGCCTCTTTCCTCAGTCCCTCCCAGCTCTTCGCCTCTGTGGTGACAGGCTGGAGGAGGCCGTGGGGCCCGAGGTGGTGGCCTCGGGCAGCTTCCCCTCCTGCCACCCATGGGTTTGGGACACGCAGATAGAGTAGAACTGAGACCCCAGGCCAAGAAGTTTCCAGAGAGCGATGGCCCACGGAGACCCTCTTCCCCACACCGCTTACAAACCCACCTCTCCTACCTGAACCCTCATTCTCCCAGAAGAACAGCCAAGGTCACCCCTCTTCCACGACAAAAGCCCCCCCCCCCCCGCCTGCTGGAGCTGGAGCAGGGGCCTAAGTGACATTTCAGGGGCTGAATAAGACTTCCAGCACCTCCGCCGCCCCAGCTGAAAACTAAGAGACTGAACTAAGTTGGGTCATTTAGCAAAAGTTTGCTGAGCACCTACTGTGTGCTAGGCTCCTAGAAAAGCAGAGAGACCATAGCCCAGGGGCTGACAGGATGCCCTGAAAAGCCCTCTGGTCACAGAGATAAAGGTGATGGAGGCCTGGGTGGCAGAGCCCAGCGCTCCCGTCAGAAGGCCATCCCTCCCTCCTGCGCCTCCCAGAACCCTGGGTGGGGTGCAGGGCACCTGCAGGAGGGGCAGAGCAGAGCCTGGTCACCAAGCTACACTTCAAGAAAGACACCTCGAAGGAGAAGCTGCAGCCGGCCGGGCGGAGAGAGAAGCACACAAGCCAGGACTGCGGACCCCGGGAGCCCAGCCAACACGCCCAGGACACCGGTCTCCGCCCCGACGCCTCGCCCACTGCCAGCACCCGGCACGGTCAGTGCTCCGGAAGGGGGCTCCTTTCTCGTCACCCAGGGACCGTGGCTGTGTTTGCCTCCTCTACTGCATGCCTGGGGGGTTGTCAGCCTGGCAAACTGCATCTTATACCAGGGACCCCTTTCCTCGCCAGAGATCCACGTGGTGGCAGCTCAGCCCTTCTGACAAGAGCAACAGCGCCGAGCCGACGTCATTCAGGCCAAAGGCAGAGGGACTCGATGTCTGGGACACAGCCCGTCGCACAGGTGGAGACCGAGCACGTATCTGCTGCTCTCCCGGGCTGCCCCTGCCCCTCAGCGCCCGCACGTCACCTGCAGCAGTGAGTCCTGAGCACTCACTATGTGCCAGCCACAGGGCCGGCCCGCCTGGCTCCATGGAGACCAGCAGGGGCCCAGGCGACATGGGCGTGGCCACACACCCCCTCCTAGCAGCCTGCACGGATGGCCCCCCAGAGCAGGACCCTTTGTTTCCCTGAGGCCTCCCAGCCCCTGGATGGAGTCTCTGAAATTGTCTGTCCCCCCAAGTCTCAACAGGAAGCAATGAAGGGCCAGAGTCGCCTCCCTCCCCCCCCCGCCCCCCGCCAAACCCCCAGGGCTCAGCCCCATAACATGTGCACGTGCTCAGTGCTCTTCAGGCTGCGAGGCCCGGCGACAGGCCCAAGGCGAATTGTTAGGAACTCATGGAATCGGGAATCAAACCCAAGCCCGTCTAATCCCAAAGTAGGAAATGTCCCCCTGTGAAATGCTGATCACTGAATGTTACAGATGGGGAAACTCAGCAGGGCAGCCTGGCAGTGGAGGGCCCGGGCTGGGGGGACATGAAGGAGAGGGCAAGAGGGAGGAGGGGGTGTGGACCTAGTGACTTCCCCCCTCTGGAACAAGTGCTAAAAGCTCATTCAGAGAAAGACGGCCTTCTGCCTTCTCCCCGGGTGGACAGGTCACTTCCATTCAAACTGAGCCTGCCCGGTACGCCGGGCCATGGCTCGGCGCTCACCCTGGGGGGCTCTGGGTGCCTTGAGCCGAGGCCGGCGCACAGCCCTGCAAGATGCCAAGTGCCCCTCCCCTACCTGCCCTTCTGCCAGCTCGTCAGCGGACAGGCGTGGGGAAAAGTAGGGGAAAAAAGGGAAAGCTGGCTGATGCCAGGTATTTTGTATTTCAGTCCAGAGGCCACGTAGATCTGCAGGGAAACTTCTTATTCCACTGAGCTCAAAACCTTAAACAGTCTGAGTGAGCAGACCCAGCCCATGCGGCTCCTGAAACAGGCTGTCTGAACACCACTGGGGGCGGTGCGGGGCTGGGTGGGGGACCGCAGAGCTGACCCTCGTCCTCGCAGCCTTCAGTTTGGGCTTCTGCGAAGGCGCTGGCGGTACTGTACAGGCGCTTTGGCGATCTCTCTGCCTGCAAGGGTGACAAATATCAATGTAACCACATTTCTATTTTAGTTGCCTCAAATATTCCAAGTTTTGTTTTCTCCATCATGTTCATACATATGCATGTAATTAAACATTTGTGAAAAATCACTTTAATAATAAACAGGAAATGAACTTAAATACTGCCCCTTCCTCTCGTTCATCAGTGGTTAGGACAGAGGCGGTAGGGGGCGCGGAGGCCGGTGGAAAAGGTAACTGGAATCAGACCGTTTTTTCAGAAATTCCCTGGCTGTATTGAAGACTGAAAGTAAAGGAGCTACAGAAAGCTTCCGGCACACAAAGCAGCAGTTGGAGACGTGCGTGTGGAGGACACCCAAAGTTAGGAAACGTGCTCCTAAATGAGCCCCCAGAAAGTGAAA